CACTCACTCACTCTCCCATGCATGCACTCTCCCACTCTCACTCACTCTCACTTTGACTCTCACTCTCACTTTCACTCTCACTCTCACTCGCACTCACACTCACACTCACTCTGACTCTCACCCACACTCAGTCCACTCACTCTCACTCTCACTGACTCTGACCCACACTCACTCTCACTCACACTCATTCTCACTCTCACTCACACTCGCGCTCAGACTCACACTCACTCACTCTCCCACTCTCACTCACACTCACACTTCCTCACACTCTCACTCTCACCCACACTCACTCTCACCCACACTCACTCTCACTCTCACTCACACTCACTCACCACCGCCGCCGCCGTCACCACGATCACCAACTTGATCACCTCTCTGGACCCCAATGCATCTAGATCTCTAGACTTTTTGCTTATAGACCTCACACACACTGTTTGGGGTCTCTTGCCGGGATACTTTTTCGGTACAAGTAGACGAGACCGATGATGTTGGTCGAGACGGCTGCACCTCAGAGGTGCTGAAGATCTATGTGAAGAGGGAGTCAGCTCATTGAGTCGAAGGTGTCACCGTGCGGGTTACGCAGAGAGGTTGCCATGTGTCACCGAACCGCCTGGTGTCGAGGTGGTTGGTTTTGTTGTGTGTGTTTTTCCTTTTTTTGGGGGGTCAAGGGATGTCAACGGTGTTGTTTCATTCAAAAGCGGAGCTTTTGACTGCATTGATGTTGGATTGATGTTGGTTTGGTGGCGGTTTGCTGCTAAATGTATCAGTTTTGTCGGTTTTGGTGTTTTAGTGCATGGTGTTTGATGTTTTTTTGATTGTCCTTCAAGGGATTGGTTAATTACGTGTGTTTTTTGCTTATATGAGTGATTGCGGCTGGGTCATTTAGGTGAACTTGTTGAGTCTTGGGGTCGTCAGATGGATGGGACACACACACATGCGTCGACATTAAATATATAATGATATTAATATATATTTATTTATTTATTTACTATTTGGCCACTTGGTGATGGCCATGTTCACTAGACCTATGTCGCATCATGGTGGCATGGTTGCTCTAAATCCCATAAGCTTTGGGGAGACAGTTAGATGGGATGGGAACACATTGCCCCTTGGGACCGTCGGGCCGCCGTTCGGCCGCGCTTTTAAGCGGGCAGGGTGCAGTCAGACGCCAGGCAAACGACGATGAGAGTCGAAGCTAGCTGCTGGCAGCACGTGGCAAGAGAATTTTTCAAGATGAAAAACGAAAAGAGCATGTTCGCTGCAGACCAAGCGGCAAAGACATGGACGAACGGAATGTGTTTTTTTGGAAGTCTGTCTTTATTCCAACGGTCCAACGACCAAACCTGTGTTGTTTACATGCAATAGATGATACTGTGTGTATTTCACTGTAAGTCTCAGTGGCAGAGGTTGGTGTGATATGATGGCACTTGGCACGCCAACCAGAGGAGGTCAAGATCCCTGTGCTGCCAGAGCTATCAGAAAAGAAAAGTAATGCCGCGAGCCTCAGTCATGATCCATGAAGCGCAATCAGAACGCGTTTAATTACTACTAATGACAATTAAGTTGGCCACATGGTTTCACTCATTTCTCGCAGGGATGTACTCGCCTTTCAGTACGAAGCATCAGGCCTTGACGCCCTGATCAATAAGGCTAGATGGAAATCTTGGGAAGCAACATTTTTAAATTGAAAAAAACAAACAAAGTTTTTTGAATTGGAGCATGTATGAACAAGTCACCAGACAAAGAGGTCAGATCAAATCCAGATGGCCTTGGCTTTGAAGTACAGCTTCTAGAGGACAATAAAAGAGGCTCGCTGCGAACACACCTAATGACTAAAGGTTGCTTTCCAGCGGTGGCTGCTGGCGTTTCGGCACACATGCGCGCCAAGAGCACTTGGTATGAACGCGGGAGACTCCCGCATAGTCCCACAGTTAAGGTGTCATGATGTTTCACATGAAGATGAGATGCCGTGGGCAGTGCGGCAGTGCGGCAGTGCCGCGCGCCAGCTTGCCGTCGGGCGATGATGCAGGTGAAGCCCTGTATCGTTTCACGACCCAGGAAGACCCACAGGGTTCGCAAAAGAAAGACGAGAGGTCGAGTGAAGCGTGACGCGTGCCGTTCTTGTTCAGAACAGCAAGGACATGGCTGTGTCGTGAATAGGACATACAAAGAATTTGCTGAGCTCTTGTTTTCGGTATGCAAATAGTGTTCTACTCACAAGAATGGCTGCATTCCTGTACAAGCTAGTACACACTCCAATGCGAGCCCTGTTCAATTCAAAGCACTACACCAACAAACCGACGTTGATGTTTTGGCCAGACAAACAGAATGACGGGAAGTAAGTAACATGTTTGATTCCCAGATCAGATGTTTTCCTTCGGTGACCATGGACCAAAGGTGAGTATGGACTCTGAAAGCGAACGTTTTCATCCTGGATTAATTTGGAACATGTTGGTCCTTCTGGCTCCGTTCAGCCAGCAGAGTCAACATAGCCACCCGAGGTCTTCCCTCTCTCAAGCGCCGTACGCATCAAAACAAAACAGCTAAGCGCTGGCCCGTCGTGTGCTCAGCACCTCCACCTCTTCGTCGCTCGGGTCCCGCCGTGATGACCGAGCCATGACACCGGTGGCCGCAAAATCAGCGAGCACCGGGTGCTACATCCGGCGCAACGAACGGAGTCACATGTGGTCCACATGGGAGGCCGTTTTGAGTGCCGTTTTGCGGACGGCTTCGATAGGATAGGATAGGCCATTAGGCCCCATCATATAGGTATGCCTAGGTTGCTCGATGATGTGTAAAATCATGTCATTTTTGCGAACACATCGGACCAAATGAGTCAGACATTGGCTACTCAGCCTGAGCATTCGAGCAACAACAGCCTGAGCCTGGCTACTCAGAACATAGAGTCAGCCATTCGAGCTGTGAGAAGGGCATTCAGGTTGAAGAGGACAACCTCACGTTAACGTCCTATAGCAACGACTGTGTCGCTTATGTCACAACCCTAGGGATCCAGTCGTACCTTCTCAGGTTCGGTATGCCTGGACCTTTTTTTTTGCACCTACATAGTCTTCTTCCTCACCGTACCTGAGAAGGTACGGGGGGATCCCTAGGGCAACAGGGCTCCTCAGGGCTCCCCAACGATTGGTGTTGAGGGACTCGGACTAGCACGACACACGGACGCACGACCGATACGGTTCACGAGCACGAGATCTCTCGTTTTGACCAAGTGTATATCATACTGTTTATCCTGCATTTCCCATATAGTATACTGTATATCATACTGTATATCATACTAGTGTTTCTATTGACACTTCCCAACCAGAGTGAAACCTGACCATGAAAACCATCGATGGACCCTTTGGCGCCGCGCGCGCTTGGCCGGTCGCGGCGTGGTCGCTAGACCCAGTGGTCGGTAGTCCCTTTGACTGCCAGAGCGCATGGTGTGCGCGGTGAGGGCGCTCACGAGGGCGCACGCATGTTGTGATCAACTCCACTCGGAGAGCAAACCGACGACCTGCAAACATATGGTGGTCACAGTTGCTGTGGTGCAGGGATACCCTCCCTCCACACATGTGGAAGATGGCCCTTGAAAGACGGTTTTCTGTCAAACAACCAGGGGGGGGGTTCCACTTCCATGAGTGCTTCTTCAATTGAATGGTGCAGGGATTCGCAGGGGAGACCCTGCAGTGCTTCGTCCCGACCTGCCCGGACCTGCCCATGCGCTCGGTACATGACTGGGGCCTTGGAGCGCTTGGAGTGATGACGGTGTCCTACAAGTCAGGAACTGGCCTCATTTTACTGGAGGAGATCATAGATGGTCATACAAAACCCAGACTTAAGGAGGTAGTAGAAGTTTGGCCAGGTTTGGACCTGGGTCTGACTGGACTTGTAGGGGTGGTTTCCGAGTAGACGGCACAAGTTACCCAAGTTAGGTGGGGCAATCATGGACCCCGATTTGTCTAAGACATGTAGGGGTGCCAGTGCCATCTACTCTGGAACCACTGTACATACCACTGCCTTCAGTTCGTGACCAAGACACTGGTGTTTGGTGTCTCTAAGTGTGACTGAACAAACAGGCCAGTTGGTGACCGCAAATCCCGGGATCTCAAGTGAGGTCACGAACTGTAGGTCCTCAATTTGTTTTTCTAGATGCTTGGGGGGCGGACCTTCCACTGAATGAAGGGAACATTTGGAACATCGGCTATTTCCGGGAAAGTGCACAATTGACATGATCTTTGCATTCTTGAGGCACATGAAGCGCCTATTCCGAAGGCGCTGCAGACCGCCATGTGAAACACCACCACCACCACCACCACCACCACAGGGACCAAAAGAGCGCAGAAGATCGTGCACCGTGCCGCTTCAGTGATTACCACTGGACACCACAGCTCAGACGATGCTCTTGAGTCTGGTGGAGGAACGAGCGGTTTACTGACTGCCTGAAAGAAAAAGCCTCAGACGTCCTCAGTGTGCGTGGTTCTTGATAGGAATTTGTGTGGGTTCCACAACTTCCGCCGCTGCATTCACAAGGGGAGCACACAATCAGTGTGTGGGTGATTGGATTTGATTTTCAAGGTGTCCTACCTCTATGACTTCAATGACTATCACATATACTGTACATGAATGGTTGGTGCACCTGAAGGAACCACATCTTGCCAAAGGAATCGGCGGAATCGACATGGGAAGACGGGTTCTTGGTCGGTTTTCTGCAGAGGATAGAGGATGTTTGCTCCGTCTACAGTATGTACCACTCCAGTTCAAGCTCAGGTATCAATCTACCCGGCCGTCAAAGACCATAAACAATAGGGTTTATCTTGGTTTTGTAGTGTGAATTCCTGAGTAAAGCAATAGTTGTTGGAATCCTAGGGTCTAAATAGGACAGTCCTTGGGGCCATGTTCGTTGCTGCGCTATGATTTGCTGCAACATGTTTTGGTCCTCAGAGTTTCGATCGAAACGACTCGACTTAGATCGGCGCCGTCTCGGTGAGCGTGGTAGCCAGGTGAACCGAGCAACCGAAGAGGCGAGAGGGGACCGAAGAGGGGACCGGAAGAGGGAGGACCGGTCCAGCGTGAAAGCCAATAGAAACCCCCATGAACCAGCAATCACCACATAGTTAAGTTATATGAGCATGATGGTCAAATGGTTTAAATCGCATGGTATCCCTTCAAGCATGTTCGTTTGTTCGAAAGGTTTTTGTTTTTTTTGTTTTTCATGATATCCATGGAGGATATGATGCATGATTGAAGGCAGAGCTCCTTGTTTTGAGAACGAGTTGCAGCATGATTTTCTTCGGATCCCCTTAGGCCCCTGTAAGTTGCAGCATGTGACATTGGCCCATGGGCCCTTTCTTTGTTCATTATCACAAAGCTGATTTGACAAGCTCCTGGTGCAGTTGATTTTGTCAATATCAACAGTTGGTTTTACTAACAGTTGACATGAACAGGGGTTCTTTGAAAGATGTGGGGAGCTCCACACCTTCCAGTCAGGTACAGTCGGTAGCTTGGTGGGTACCTTCGGTTCCAGCGGGCGGTCGCTGAAGCTGACGACTTCACCAAAAGATTGAGAGTACATGGCACAGACCCCAAGAGTGGTTTATATATATGGACCATCTAAAAGACATCTTGGGGTCTGTGCCATCTACTCTGAAACCACTGTATACTCCCTGGAACGACCACATGGAAGTGGACAATGGCCCCGAGTTCGGAAGAGCCTTGTCCTCCAGGAATCACCATGTATCAGACCCGGAGCTCCCGACGAGCACCGCCGAGCGACCGGGGGGGAGAGCCACAGCTCGCGTAGCGACTCGATGGCCCCAACGGCACGCGTGCGGAAACACGCGCGCGTGCGCCAGCACTTGATGGAATGTTTCGTCGGTATTGGGTTTTTGTATCCTCGCCCCATTCCACGATCCGGGACGCCCTAATAATTATACAGCCCAAACCAGTAATTTAGACGTTGACATATATATGGACGATCTACAATATATCGTGCGTCTATCATCCAATGCATGGATATAATATGAGCTTGTTTAGTTTGTCTTTTGGTTGTTTTTCGGAGCAACTCAGAAAGGGTCCTAAATATGGCCCACCCTGAGAAGCGTTGCCAGCTTGGATGATCGTGAACACGTTCGTCGACCTCCCTCCCCGCCAGGCCACCGCGCGTGCGCGCGAGGCCGAAGAACGGCAACGGCTCCTGAGCGAGGCCAGCTGAAGGGGCGTGGTGATGGCGTGGGTCGCCGGTGGGGCCGAATGAGTTCAGTGGATATAAAGGAATGGACGAGGCAAAAGCCGTAATTCAGATAGGTAAGGATGGTAAGGGGGATTGGGTGCACAGTCACGTATATAGTTCATCATTTCAACAGGTGGAGGCAACAACAAGCTTCCGGAGTCAGGTTGCTCATGTTTGCTCTACGAAGCTTCATTCCCTAGGTAGTGTGAGGCCTGTTTGATGGTTGCCATCTCGGGCATCACCGGAGTCCGCGGCTTCACACCCGCGGGGTCGTGTGTGTGCCCGTTCTCGGTGGCCTGGCCGACGGACCACGGAGCGATGTTGGTCGTCAGGGAACCTGAGGGGTTTGGGTCAAAGCCCCGGACCAATCACATCCATTTAACTTAAGTCATAACCCCTAGGGCTCCAACCACTTCCTGAGAAGGTGGTTGGGGTGGGTTTGGGGTTTTTAACCACCTGAGGGTGTGGTTGGAGCCCTAGGGAACCGTTCACCCGCAGATTGGACCATGTCATACCTCGAATCCGCGAAGCTTTCTTGGGTCCGATATAGGCCATTTGACAAAGACTTCGGACCGGATCGGAGCAGGCCCCGCAGCACCTCTCCGGAGGTTCCGAAGCACGTTTCAGAGGGTTCCTCGAGATCATTGCGCTTCCCAACTTCCCTTATGGTCATTGTTGTCCGACACGGAAAAACAAGCGGCGTACGAAAGTGATTTTACCACCAATGAGGTCCCCTTAGATGCCGCAGAGACGTATTGGGCGTCGTCTCAATCAAAAGGTGCTATGTGTGACCCCTCCACAGGAGAAGTTGGTTTGGAAACCGTCGAATCTCTTAAGTCCGCCCCTATGATGTGGCACATGACTGGCAAACAAATTAGGAGGAATGGAACTTCAAAGCGCTTTGCCAAGCTGGTCAGCAGAAAGAAAACCGAAAGCGGCAAATGGGACAAGCGCAAGACTCGCCATTTTTGGGTAGTGTCTTTCCCAGCAAGGTGCTGCTTGAGGACGTAAAACACGAACTCTCGTACTGTCGTGTGCTTGTTGCCGCATTTCGCCCCGGGCTCGTCAGGGAAGCAGAAGCTTCAATCCAAAAAGACAGTGTGTTCCTGGCTGTCAGGATGCAGGCTCAGATTTGTGGAATCTTCCGATAGGGTCGCTTGGTCGGAGAGCCAAATGCATGAAGCTACGGGCATCATTCATCGCATGATTGAGGGGAGCGTAGGCATGCCAGTAGGATCGTGGGAGAGTCTCTTTTCGAAGCTGGAAATCGGCGCTTCCTCTTCTCGCACTTTGACATTTGACACCAAAAGAACGAAGGCGGATGTGACGCATGAATGGTTGCCAGTGAAAAAGACCGTGTTTCACGATCTTCCCTGACACGGCCGCCCACCGAGCTATGCAGCGGGAAGTTAATGCAGTCCTTTAAGGTCAACAACACATCACACAGGACACTCAAACGGTGACCTTCATGGATGATATTATCAACGCCATGGAGTTGACCAGCAGGGGAGACAAAAGCCTAGGCGGATTTCTTGTCAGGGTCTCAGACTCCTTGAAGGGGTCATCCCGAATTTTTAGAGAGAAGTTTAAAATCTCTACGGCGGGGTCGAAATCATTGAAAGGGATGCGTAAGTTCATCTTCCTCAACGATTTCGTGGTAGGGTCATCCACCTGCCCTTCGTTTTGGAAACTGGCAGCCAAGGCAATCCTAGCCCCAAGAGGGTTCTTGGAGACGTTTTGTGAAGTGGAAAGCAAAATTTAATCTTTGGCTTTGGACCTGAACTCAGCAGGTGTGTCTGCATGGGTTAGCAACATTTTCCGGTGCTATATGATTTCAGCGCTGGAAAGGCAAGGTGAGAATCGGCTGCGTCAAAAGCCAGAGCTGACGATGCACTTCCACCTTTGCATGGCCTTGTTGAGGATTGTTCCTGTAGAACTGGGCGGCGCTTTGGACGTACCCATCCTTTCCTTATTCAAGCAGAGCGTGCCCGATGGGATGTCCACCAGACTAGCACTGCTAGGTTTGATCATTCGATTGGTTGGGGATGGGCAAGAGTACGCTTCAGTCAAGGAGTTTTCCAGATGGCATTCCCCCACGCAACTTGCAGCTGACATTTTGGAAAGTTTCTTGAAAACTTCTGAGCTCACTCTCCCGGCAATGTACTCCTACTTGGCCCAGATGGTGGTTTCTTGTCCTTTGACTAGGAGAGGAGTTTTCGAAAAGCCATCGGACTTATTCCCGCCCGGGCGCAAACCTGTGGCTTTGGCGGAACACCCGGAAGTGCTGAGAGAGAGGAAGATTCAGGATCTTTTGGTCAAAAGATGCAAGTCAGGGGCTTATGCCCCTGCGCTTCGAGTGCTGAAAGATCTCAAGAGACTCTGGCCAGGAACTGACACCACGATTGTCGCTGGTCTGGACGCAAACTTTTTCGATTAACTTCTTTCTCACTCGTATTTAGCCACAGTCAAAGCATGAAGCAAAACTCAGTTCGGGCAAAGAGAAGTGCGGGCTCTGACCGGAGTAAATGCCCAATCAGCATTTTCTACTTCTCTAGGAGTGTCCAGCTTTCGCTACATAAAGAGCAAATTGGATGTGTGTCTTTTGATTGCAGAAGCACTGTCTACTGGGCTCACAAAGGGGGGCCTGAAGAATGAACTCTTGGGGTTGTCTAGCAGGAACTTCACATCAGCAGAGATCTTGAGAGCGGTCCTGGAAAGAGAGTGTTCGGCTAGCCAATCTGGGCTTGCTTTTCTCAGACAGCAAATTTTTTTCAAGCTGGCAGGCTTTGTCAGGGAGGCCCAGCATGAGGACAGCAATGGGCTGACAGATCTCAACTGGACCCCAGACTGCATGAGCCTTCAAGGTGACTCCTTTCCCTTCAATATGCTATGCAATGGGAAGGTCAACTCGCCCCTTCTTGACCTGAAATGCCGCTTTGCAATTGCTCATGCCAGATTGGGACAGTTCAGGATCTTCATTTTTGGCAATAAATCCCTCCGATTGAAGAAGAAGGCATTGTTGTTCGATACCCTGATTCTTTCGGCAGTCTTTTGCAATCTAGCGGCATGGGCACCTTTCACAAAGATGATCAGCGCTGCATGGACACGAAAGCTTGGGGGACTCTACAGGAGGTTCGCCGTGATGCATGCTGGCATTGTGGTGCGTGAATGGAATGACCTACAGCTACGGCATGAGATGGGCTTGCTAGCGCCTTCGGTGCTGCTCAGATCCTTGAGACTCATGCGCTTTCTCGCGCGTGTGATTTGTACGTCTACTGAAGCCACGTGGGCTCTACTTCAACTGGGGTCTCCTTGGTGGTACCAGCTGCAGTCGGATGTAGCGTGGCTTCAGCAACAAAGGGGACTTCCTTTGGAAATGGGCTCATTGCTTGACAACTGGGATCAATGGTCTCACTACATCAGTTTGTCTCCTAGCAGATGGAAGAAGCTGGTGCAAAAGCAACACAACATGATGTGGAGCAAACAATGTTGAAGCGCAAATGGATTGAGTGGCATGATGCTATTGCTACTGATTTCCATCTATTGCGTGGGGCACCTGGACCCCCCGCCGGTGAACCAGGTGTCTTAGAGCATTGTTGCATCCGCTGCAGCAATTGTTTTCGACAAAGGCTGGATGGAGTGTGCATGCTTTCAAGATGCACGGAAGAATCGCTGCTGGCAGACGTGTGGCAGTGGGCTCCCAATGCCCAATTTGTTTGAAACAATATGCTTCACATGTTGCTTTGATACATCACCTCAATTATCAAAGCAGCTGCCGGATTTCAGCTCTTCGCAGGGGTTTTGCAGCTGACCCGGAACCTGGACCCAACAGTGTGGCTGCGGATTAGCAAAGGCCTGACTTTTGGAGACCGCCAATGCAAGCGCTGCTGGACCAGCTCTGCCACCAGATATGCAACATGACTGTCCTCCCTTGTTGGAGTCAGAGGATGAGCTGTGGAACTCGTGGACACAAGCAGTTGCACATGTCACTTGCCATACTCGTTTTGAAGTGGTTGTGGCTCTCCTCAAAGAAGCAACTTTGCAGACAGTTTTGCATCTGGATGAAGTGAAAGAGCTGTTTGTAAGTTGGAGGTTACACTTCCAAGGTGACCGAATGCTGGACTCTTGGAGCGAAGTGTGCAACCTGTTCTTAACTTCTGCTACTACGACTTGGTTCGTTCCAGCCCATTCAGGTGAGACGCCACGGCTTTCCTTTGAAGGGGTCTTTGACCAATGGTGTGAACGGCCACCGTCTGTGCAAGAAGTCCTACGTGTGATATAATACAGACCAGTTTAATGGCACACCTTTTTTCTGACCATCGTCGCGAGGGCGACTTGCAATCCTTTCTTGAGAATCTTCGAGTTCCGGAGCCGCACTATGTTCGGGTGCTTAGCGTGGACATTGTGTTCTCGGAGTCTTGGGGGAATTTGCTTTGCCCTACTACTTTCAACAGATTCAAAGATGCCATACGGTTGCGAAGACGGAGGGCCTCTTCCTGTTCGCAATGGCACTCACCTCAGTGGCCTACCAGAGCTGCGATTGCGTGAGGTCAGACAAGTTGCGATTGGAGATGATCTTCTTGGAGTCGCCATCCGCTTCGTTGCCTCGATGTTGATTTGTCAGGGATGTTTCTTGTTGGAGCGCCCGAAAGATCTTGGAGGAGATCACCCCTCCATCTGGAGACTCCAAGTGGTGAAATTCCTCTTGGCTTATTCCAATGTGCGCTTCTACCATGTGCAGCAGGGCTTGTACGGTGCGCAATCAGCGAAGCCGACCACATTCCTGATTGTGAATCCTCACTCTGACACTGAGAGTATTTTGGCGGAACACAGAACGTGTGCCACGTGCCGAAAACTGTGTCCATTGGACGCGAAAACGGCCAATGGAAGACAGCTGTGCTCAAGGCGTGCCCTGCGGCATTATGTAAAGCCATTGCCGCGGTTGCGCAAAGTCTCTTGGAAGGCCTGGACTCCCGCGGAAAGCTGGAGGAACCGCCGCAAGACTTTGAAGCCTTTGCTACGCTGTGTGTGGCACCATCGGCATCCGTGATGGGTCCTGACTACCATCCGACATATTTCTGTGCATGTACAGCCTCCTGGCTAGACCGAAGGCCGTTGAAGCGTTAAAAAACTGGGCGGTCACCGCCCGCTTCGGCTGAAAACCACTCCGCCCGAAGCTCGGCCCGGAATGTGCTCCGAGGAGCTTGCGGTGCTGCAGGAGTCCCTGCGCAAGGCAGAGGACACGGTCGAGCTCGATCAGAGACGGGCTGGGGCCAGGACCAGTCGAGGTACCAGGGACTCTAACCAGGTCTTTACCGTCCAACGGCTATTCAGCCTGGGGTGGCGCTGGATATAGGCAATATATGACCCGAATACCCTACACATCTCAGATAGGGAAAATGGAATCAGTCTTTCGCATATCCCTGTCGTACCTCCTCGTTATCATCCTGATCTGAGTGAGCTTGGACGTACCTCCCAGAAGATCAAACGCAACTTTTGGGAGCCATGAGAAACTTGACAAGGAGCTGGATATTGGGATCGGATGTGTGTGTATTTTTATAGGGAAACATCCAACCAATGGGTGTTGGTCTCCCTATTTATTTTGTCATACCCCCAATATTCACTCCACTGGCTTTGAGAGAAACACACTGTTTTCTCGTGAAATTTGAGGGGAACAAGCATTAAGATGCATTAGACTAATTTGGTTTTATTTGTTAATATCGTTTTTATGTACCAATTGGATCAAGGATACAAACTTGGGTATTGTACCGAGTCTGAGGCGTTCGTGCCGGCGGGGTCAAGACGTTGTCAGTGTTTGTCCACCCAACAAGAAGCAACATTTGTGAGGGCGCTACTAGGAGCAAAGGGCATCGCTACCAAAACTACTAGGGGCTCCTGGCCTTACTACTAGGAGCAAGGACGCTGCGAATGGGGCTCCTGGCATCGCTGCTAGGGGGTTGTTCCACGTCGATGCAGCAGAACCCAGGAGGAACGTGACCGCGAGCAGCAGAGCAGAGAGAGTGCAGAAGGGAAGTCGGGGCGCCCTATGCGATGAACCTGGCTGCTTAGGAAGCAGGTTGACACAGCCAAGACCTGGTAAATAACAATCACTAATAGATATATAATCAGTTATCACGGTTATCAGAGTCTAAATCGTTTTGCATTACCTTGTTCAGTGTAGAATCCTACATCATCCTATGTCCTAAACCTATAGTGTTGGGGTGGCCACTAAGTTTTACACCAAGGGCTTGGCCATGGCGTGCCCAAAGGGTATCCTTTGACCCTGCTGTGGATGTGTATTTTAATGGGAATCCCTTAACCCATGGGCTTTGGTGTTTATTTCCCGTCTTCCAGGGGATGTTTGGGAGGTCTCCCTATTTTAATACACATGTCACACTCATTTGATTGTTGTATATCCTTCTGTGACTATCCTGATAATCCCTCAACACTTTACTTGACCAGGAAGATTAGAGGAGATCAGAGGCAAGTGCCATCGCTCCGCTGACCACCGCACCCAACATGGGGATGACACCATATGTGTTTTCTGAACCATCAACACCTTCCATCAGCTTGGTTTAGGCAGCTGTCGCGTTGGCCATCGCTAGGCAGCTTGAAGGGATCGGTAGTAGGGTTGGAGGCCATCGCTAGTAGGTTGGTTGGAGGCTTTCTCTCAATTCCTCGTTTCGGCAGCGTGAGTCGCGTTCCTTTGTTTCGTCGTGCGCCTGTCGTGAGTCGCACAGTGTGGAATAAGGCGGCCTGCAGGCATAGCACGTTTTCCTTCTGTCAGGTCTTGTGTCAGGTGAGCAGGCAGTAAGACTGCGCTTGATGAGCAAGTGGATTGAATGCCAGAAGCAAGCTGTACAACCTTAGAGGAAGAGGTCACTTGGGAGGTGACATCCCAGCATCGCTGTTTCTTCCAAACCTGACCCCTGTGACCACCGACCCCATGGTTTTGCATTAATCATTAAACGGCATCACAGAATGGTGGTATTGATGTCCACTATAAGGAACAGTCTTTTTGTTCAAGGGGTTCTGTTTTGAATTCTTTTGAGATGGGTTGGGTTCTGTTTTGTTTGCACGAAAGGTCGGTCAAGTGTGCATGTGTGGAGAGACGGCCCTTACAAAATCTATCAGAATCTATCAACATCTTACAAAACATCATCCACTATTTATCAGTGTTGAGACATACCCAACATATTTATTGTATAGTTATTGTTTTACCGTTGATTCAGCCAATAAACATGTGAGAAAGTATCTTGGACAAAAACACAACAAACACAAACAATGTAAGTGGCATAAGGGGAATAGAGATGTGGAGATCGTCTTTCAAAATGGGCAACCTCATGTGTTGATAAATCGGTTGTTCTTCCGGCCTCTCAGGTTCAACGAGCTGGTTCGACGCCTGCAAGAACGTGTGGGTTCGCGCCAGATGTAGTGAGGGGATTGCAGGTCGGTGTCGGTGAAGGCTTTTTGTTAGGCTTTGAAACATGGAGTCCCGTGTTGGGGCCCGAAGTCTTGGCTGAGTCTTGTTGGTTTCGAAGCTCGCTCGCCGCAAAGCACTCACTCTGAGACCGTCTCGCGGCCCGAAACGGACCCGTGAGTGGAAACCTGTGGGGGTTTTCTTCACTTGTCGGGTGTAGGAGAAATGTGCGCCAAACGCCATGCCGGCCAAAGTCCTCCGGCGCGAGCGAGAGTTCAGCCTGGCCTGGCTGTGAATGGAGCCCTGGCTGTGGGGGTTCCAAAAGGAGCCATAGACCATGGCCTGAGGTCTTTGAATAGAATAAGCGTTGACGTAGTCTTAATGATATAGAAGGGGAAGTGAAAGGATATCATTTCTATCACGTGATGGGGTTAGATTCATCACGTGGGGTGCTTCTCGGATCAGTTAGCGGATGTTCCATGAGATACATCTGGTATGATGGGATCGCAATCTTGCGGAGTCTAGATGAAACAGGTTGCTGAGTCTTGCATACAAATGTCAGTCAGCTGACTGCTGGACTCTCGCTTGCAGTTTGACAATGTGCCTCATTCAAGCGAAAGAGATGTGCCGCTGCACGGCCTTGTGTCACCCCCCAAAACCAAGATGTGACGTGTCAGCTACCCTCAACCCAGGTTGCTAGACTCGGGCAGAACTGCACCACCAGTGACCCTTTGAGGTCACATTGCTTTATACACGTGGGTGCATGTATTAGAATAGGGATGCCCCTCACCCTCAGTTCGACCTCTGGCAATGTCAAAAACAGTATGTAAGGCCATTGGTCGGGAGGTCCCCCTATTGAAATACAAACCCATACTGTAGGACTTGACAGGCGGCATCCACATCCAGACTAGTGGCAACAGGATCCAATGGTCACCGGCGAGGCTTCTATAGGTTTCTTTTTCAGCTTTTGAAGACCTCCATTTCCGAGACTTGTTGGAAGGTCTTGGTAGAAAGACCAGGAAATACCATATCCGATTGTGACAACATGCGAAGACCCATGAAATTGGAGACCCATTCATTGAATGCACCAGGTCTTAGAAGCTCAGGGGGCTTGTTAAGACACATTCTATGTAATTTTGTTCGTAGGGTCGGATTTGCATCCACCTTTTGCAGTATTATTGGAGTTGTCCAATTTCACCAGGTGTCATCAAGTGTTCCACCAGATTTGGTGTGCTTTGGCTTCAGTTTCGCTTCGGTGCGCAGATGTTAAATGATAACAATCACAGCTGCTATGAATTTGGACCGAAACACTGGCCCATGCCCCACTAATATCATCGCAGATGCAATATACAGAGAGAGAGAGGGAAGAAACAGATACACACCATTCAAAAGGCACTAAAACAGACTCAGGGAAAATATAATCAATGTAACATATATAATAATATATTACACGATATATTACTATATATTCTTATAAGAACACTCTTTCTGGTGGTTTCCATATTTCAAGAACTCAGTGCCCCACTGCTGGAGTGCACCCACCCAGAAAAAAGGCACCCTTCTGTCACGCATTGGCGCGGCATTCCTTCGGCATGACGTTGGGGGCTCCCGGCCGGGACGTTCGTGGCTGGGGCTGAGCAGGTCCAGGTGTGTACGAAACCCAGTCCAAGAGGCAGCAAATGGGTAGTGTCTTCAGATCCGTTGCCTTATAGGAAGTGGATGATTTGAGCCGGTTGGGACTGGGTTTCCGGTTGGGACTGGGTGTCCAGCTAGGTGCTTCGTGTGTCCCTGAGTGAAGAGTGAAGACCTGCTGAACACACACGGCTCACATGACTCATGACTCGCCGCGCTCGAGCTGTGGCTGCAGCGGCAGATTCCAGGAAGGAATTTTTGGGAACTAGAAGTTGGACATCGATGTGTGTTTTTGTTTAAGTGGTTTGTCGCGTTTCGAAGTGGGTCGTGTTTCAAGGTTATGAAAGGTGATGAACGTTATGATCATTGGAGTGCGGACGGAGGGTGGGGGGAAGAACAGGTGTGGCCCACCGGTGCAGAGTGCCAATCGATGAATACGAAAGAAAACATGTGGGATCATGTGTATCCAGATCGAGATGCTATCACTCTTGACTAATATGTCCATCTCGCTCTTGGGATTTGTGGTCCCATAGGAATCTAGATCTGCAATACCCAGACGCTCCATGTATGGCATATTCGCCTACATTGACCCCTTTTCAACCACCCCAACTGATCGGCAAATATGGTTAAATATGGCATACATTGCATGGAGTGTTTGGTATATGTGTTTGTTGGTACGTTCACTCATACCCTTGTTCGAGACGGGTGCAGCTCCCCGAAGTGGAGGAAAAATCACCACAAATCCCGTCGACCCCCTCGCTGGAGCTCTCAGACTCCGCAGATGGTCTCCAGGTCAAAAGTGCCGCTCTTGAACAAGAGGAACCGGAAAGCCACGGTCGTGAAGGCCTCTGGAAAGCCACGTCCACCTGACTGAAGCTGAATTTGCCGAGCTCCCGTGTTGGCCGACTTCGGGTGGTTCCTGCATCCAAAAACCAACAGGAAAGAAAAGCATTGCCCGTTTGGGTCCTCCAAAAAGATTCGGTGCTTCGGAAGTCTTGAAAATGCAGATGCTGTTCTTCCCCAGTCCACTGAACATCACTAAACCATCACTAAACCATAGTTGGCCCATGTTGGCCCTTTACTATGGTTGAATGGCGGGGATACCCTCAAGTGTACAACCAATAATAAGTATATGGCTCCTGGCAGCGACCCCTCTACAATTCCCCAAAGGAAATCATTGTTCCGCTGAAAAACATCAGCCACCTGCCTGCAAGCCACCCCCCACCCGCTCGAGGCCGCCTGGCAACTGGAGAACGCCATTGTGGGTAAGTTTCTCGAGAAGTATCCGGAGGACAATCATATAATATTTATGTTCAGCAACTGGCACTTCGGTGCAGTTAATAGAGAACCTCTGTTGTTTTTTAGCAACTGCACTTCGTTGGTTGCTGAGCATCTGCAGAGCTCTGTGGGTTCAGCAACTGCGGTTCAGCAACTTGACGTTGTCAGCAACTGTGCCCGGAGTTGTTGCGACCGTTGGTCGTGTCCGTTCTCCGCGTCGGTTCGCGGAGAGGACGTCCAAGCGGCGCGGCTTCTACATTATGATTGCATGCGCTTCAACAAATGGTACGCCCAGTCTGCACCAGTGGACTGGTCCTCCCCATGGGGAGTCAGATGGATCGAATTGAGATTCAGATTTTGCCCATCCTTTGGCTTGCAGGGATTTGCAGGATTCTTTTTTGGTGTTGTTTTCTGCACGCGTTGCTTCATTTTTGCGGTGGCCGTTGAATTTATGTGTTCTTCGGTCAAGTTGAGGTATATATTCATTGCTTCAGTCACACATTTTCCTGAAGAACACTGAAATAGGTCATGCATATTGTTACTTGCTTGGCCTATATATACTGTCTCACAAGGATGTCTCCTGGGAAACATTGCCATGACCGGTTCGTCGGTTTCTTGACCGGTTAACCCTCCGGGAAGCCTCCGGGGACCCTCCATCTTCCCCATTCAACCCTGGTCACCTTGTCACTTGGAGCGACCACGGATGTTCCAGTGGACACCGAGCGTCCATCGCCGGGGAATCGGCGTGTGGAGCCTCAGGTACTATCGAGCGTGTGGAGCCTCAGCCACGTGGAGGAACTCCGAACTGCGAGAGAGAGAGAGAGAGGGGAATGAGAGGAGTACTTTTACTTTTCAAGGACCAAACATGATTATATTAACATGTGATTCTAAGGAATAGTAAAGAATTGTCAAGATAGAATATGATAGGATCTTTTCCCGCAAACACAGATGGGCTCCCAACAGCTCAAAGAAGGAAAAGAGAGGATACCTAAATCAAGTTCAAATCGTTGCAAATTACAGGGCTTGCAGAGCACCAAGTGACACCTATAAAGACTCCACACAGAAAATCTGCCTGCTATCACCATCAACACCAGATCGACCAGCACAGCCGAGCGCAGTACCGAGAGCAGTACCACGAGAGGCCCCAAGGCCTTGCACCGTACTTAGTCTGCCGTTTGGAACCACGGGCAACCAATGGTATTCACTGGTATTCCAAGTTCTGGAGGGCAGCCAGCAGATTTGAAGGGGGTTTGGGTTGCAACCAAAAGTTTTGCTGGCCTCTCTCTCTCTGTGTACTATATATATATGTACATATATCATTGGTGGACAGATAAAGCAAGTTGCACTTCAATACCATTCTGAAATAATACATGCATACTTTGCGCAGTGGCATGCAGATGAGGCGGGATCCTCTTCTAAAATCTGACAACCCTCACCTGACAGGTGGGGAAGAATGAGCCATTGACAAGGACTGATGAACCACTTGCTGCAATGGCCTTGAGGGGACAACTACACAGCTACTCGGTGCTGTCCCTCAGCAAGTTGGAACTGGCAGACCACATCTTTGATTCTCGATGTAGAATGGGAACAGGTCCAAGTGGCAACTGGCTTTTGATCCGCATGCCAGAAGAAGAATCAGTAAGCTTCTGGTCCTGGTTGTTGAGCCTGATGGCGCAACCACAACCCAACGCGAACATGCAAGTGACCAGTCAGTCCGCCACTTCCCGACTTCGAGTCTACCCGCTCTATGGCTTAAAGCCGTGTCATCTACTGGTGATGGGGCGCATCCAAGCGACAGGTCCTGGTTCACTCGCGCGGTGTGGTTTCTTTTCTGTTACACAATAAAGAGGCCATCCTTCATGAGCCATCCTGATGACATGCCCTTCTCAGAACTTCCTTCACCTTCTTGGCGAGATGGAGCTGCTGTGGGCAACAGACCTCATAGGAGGCATGATCTGGCTGCCTTCTTCTCCGACATGGGTACCGACCACCAATTTGTAGTACTCCATGAACTTGCTGACACTGTCTGGATCAACTCCTTCAGGCCCGTCGCTCTCTTCAAAGTTGGTTGAAGATGCATCCCTCTAAAAAGTGCTACTATCAGATCAGCGAGAGCTATAGTGTCAACTCATCAGGACAATGCTTCTGGGAAGGATCTTGGTAGCATGGATCTTGCTGCTCCGGTGGCGGGCGAAAAATCGTTGCTTGCAAGGGCGAACGTGCTCAAGTACTGAGATCCTCGCTCATGAACTCTTCGGTTGCAAGATCAAGATGTGGATCCCACGAATTGCGTGATCTGGCTGGAAGCTAGAGTTTCCTGTGGCATTCCGCATGTCAAGACTGGCTGTAGGGACACAACACAGAAAGCCAACACCTCGATTGGCTGACTGGGGTCGGGGCCTAGTCCTTGCTTGGACG